CGTAGGATAAGGAAGAGGTAGGGTCGTATTTTCCGAAAATTTCCCACAGGACGGCAGGACGTGCCCTGAATGCTATAGAAATCCATTTACCATGGTGGCTTGACGAGCTTGCTCCAGCTGCACAATAGTTCACAGGTTTCAACAGAGTGAAACTTGTGAACCAGCAAAAGCAGCAAAGGTGCAAAATGCCCCCCCCCCTCCCCACCTTGTCCCGTCGCCGAGCTGCACCGTCTTGACAAGGCAAAATCAAAAGTTGCGCTCATAGGAGGAGATGGCACAGTAAAACTTGGTCAAAATACAAGTACAAAAGTAACTAAGTAGGGAATTAGTATGAAATTTCAGACCTGATCGGCGATATCGACGATGTCGTCGAGTTTCTCTATCGCACGATGAGTGTCGAGTTCCATTCGGCCACTGTTCGCCAAACTCCGCCCCTTTTCGATGACGTCATCGAGGGCAGTACGTGACTCGGTGAGAAAATGATCCACGGCCTAGAAACTGACTAACTTAGTGGGGACAAATCGATCAGCCCTCCTAGAGACTTACCCTAAGTCGCCTATCCCATTGGATAACACTGCTGACTGGGGACTGATCAAAGTCCAGGCTGGCCTTCGCTTTGTCGAAGGTATTTTTGAGCAAATCGATCTGAAAAAAATCTAATTTTAAATTCAACAAGGAAGTTTCCGGGTAGCTTGTCGCCTCAGGCGGATTCCCAGGTAATTGTTTAGACATGGCAGACAAATTCGACTATCACGGAGGTGTTATCGACTTTTTGCCCAAAGAAAACAACATTTGAGGGAAGCGACGGCACTGAAAAACACATACCAAATCTCCCTTCGTCGGTTATGAGGTTAACCTTACTTGAAACTTTAATCGATTACTCATTACCAATCATTTGAATATACGTACTGTTGATTATTATTTTTTTTCTCGGTGGGAATCCTTCGCCTGAATTCTGTAATATGAGGGACCAAGATTACCAGTAAAGTTATTAGAAACATTCGCGCATGCATCCCTATAAGGCGCAGATGACGTCGTGGCAAAAACACCTGTGCGGCCCGGGATTCAGATTTTTTTCAGGATTGAGACCGGTTCCCGTCCGTGACAGTCAAGCCTTCCAACCCTCTGAAACCAAGAAAGTAGCACAAGACCCATCTGAGAAGGGAACGACACTGATCTGTAAATTGGCTAGCCCCTTCAAGCCATTGTATTTGAAGGATCAATCGCTTCAAAACCACTCACATTCACAATCATAAGTCTTGGACTGGAGCAGAGTGCATGGCGCATCCGGAAAGAAGTAATCTTATTTTTAATTTTTTTTAAAGTTTTGAGCTTTGTAGTCTGCGTAAACGTTCGAAAGGGCAGATTACCGAGTTTGAAGATGCAACAGTTCCCAAGTTCGAGAATTTGACAGGTCCGGCTAAAATTCGCTCTGAAAGGCGGGGTGGGGGTGGGCGCTCGGGCCAAGCGCTCATGTAGCAAACCAAAAAGCTGAAAAACGGAAGGCGGAAGCGATGCCACAAAAGAGACCTTCGTGACTCCCTCATACGCTTGCAGTCAGGGCAAGCCATTGCATTGTGATAAAGTCCCGAGAATTACGACCCCCCCCCCCCAATTTTCATCCTTGATATACGACCTCCGCCCCTCAACAACGAGGAAATACCCCACCCCATCATAGGCGTCGCGTGAAACAATAGGAAGCTCAATTACGAAAAAAAATTTCTCAGACCAAATACGCGAACCCCCTTCCTTCGCGGTCAAATACGACCCCCCCCCGTTGTATTATCACAACGATGGCGTGCCCTGCTTGCAGTGCGTTCTGATTTTCGGGAAATCGTAACACTTTAGACCTACGTTGCGGTTAGGCGTACAAATGAGCCACTATTCCTTACTAACTGATTCGACACCCAGCAGCAAGTCAACTAGCTGGGTCCTGGTGCGAATGCCGCGCACGAGACACAGCTGAGTTTCCAGGGTCGGGTTACGCTTGGCCCGATTTTGTTTGGTAGTGTACAATTTCGGGAGGATCACACAATGAACACACTACGAAGTTTGAACTTATATTTGCCGTTTCGCTGTCATATTTATGCATGAGACTAGGGAGGGGTGTCCTATTTTTCACAATTCCGAGCTCAGATAATGAAGCGTAGGCCATCTGTCACCCTGAGTTATCCAGGAACTGCATTACTATTGAGTTCTGGCCCTTGCGCCCGGCGAACGGCTAAAGCTCTCCTTCACAAACTGAATCTGGAGACCCCATTTTGAAGAAAAGGTGCCGCTCCCAGAAATGGGAACGCTCAAAAAGATCACATAATTAGAAAATTAGAATTAAATTAAATTGGATAGTTTTTGTAATGGCACGTACTGCTCGATCTCTACTGTTTTGCACCCTTCCATCCATCTTTCCCATTCACATTAGATGATCAGTCCAGCTTAAAAGCCCGTCCTTCTACTCAGCGATAAAAAAGATAACATCTCCGTCGTCGACCAGTCCCATTTGGAACGCGACACGCATTCTGCTCCCAATTAAAGTCATACTGGCTTATTGAATTCCGCGTGGGCTATACAATGACTTGCGGGCAAGA